CGCGTCATTGGCGCCATTTCCTTGTTGACATCTCTGACAAAGATTTTCAACTCACAACAATACAAGTTTCATACAACAGCATAGTTTGTAATAGCGTTGAACATGTCGAATTTTGTGCCTGGGAACTACGATTTGCGGACAGCATTGATTTTCTGTTACCATTTGAAGAAAACTGCTGCAGAATCGCATCGAATGTTTGTCGAAGCTTACGTTGAGCATGCTCTTGTTAAATCACAGTGCTTTGAGTGGTTTAAAAAATTCAAAAGTGGCGATTTTGACGTGAGAAACGAAGAACGTGGAAGACCACCGAAAAAGTTTGAAGACAGCGAATTGCAAGCATTGTTGGATGAGGATAACACTCAAACGCAACAACAACTCGCAGATCAATTAAATGTGTCACGAGAAGCCGTCTCCATACGTTTGAAAGCCATGGGAAAGACCCAGAAGATGGAAAAATGGGTTCCACATTGTTGAGGTCTTCCGTCTTTTTCATATTCTCGCGCGCGATTACAGAGGGGGGGCGCGCGAACGTAGCATGTAGGCAAGCGAGCCGAGGGGAGTCAAGCGCGCTCTCTTCGCGCGTAACCACGCAGCTGGTCTGACCGTCCGTTTCCGAACATCTCTGTATAGACTATGGAAGCTTAAATATATTTCGCAGTTTATCCAAATTACACGGCTCCGGGTTATTTTTCGATACACCTACCCTGACAAACTACAAAAATTAATAAGTGGCGACGAGGATGGGATTCTCGGATGTACGGGAATACGCGAAAGTGAAGTGGTTCTTGAGCTAACCTGCAAGTGTCGTTCAAGAAAAGCACGTGGTGTTACAGCAGTTCGTTTCGAACGGGAAGAGGAAACGGCATTTAGGAATTGAACAAATCTCGAGCGAAATCAGAGAGACAATGGCGCAAACCGAACAAAGCAGTCAAATCGTCGTATAAAATGCTTTGCAGGTGGAATTTTACGATTCCAGTAAGAATTGGAAACGTTGGTTACAACGATTTGAGGGATCGTTCAAAGTATACAAAGTCCAGGCGGACGAACAAAAGGTCGCATACTTACTCCACTTTATCGGTACAACTGCATTTGAAACATTATGCGATCAATTAGAACCGGTGGATCCTTACACTAACAAGGA